GGGAGAGGCCGGCGGCCGGGGCTTACCGCAGCCCCCAGGGCGCGGAGGGCAAGGCCTGCCTGCCGGGAGCCAGCCATGAGCAACACGGATAGCAGCGTTTCGACTCAAGTGAGCAGAAGCACCCCTTCCTTGCGTGCTTGGCCCCACACGACCAGCACGCTGTTAGAGGGAAGCCTCCCTGAAGCAGCAGGCACAGGGCTGGCCCAAGGACTGCTTCTGCTGCGGGGGACGCAGACAAAAAACAACAGAAAACCAACCAAACCTCAGAGCAAGAAGAAGCCCTGAAGGCACCTACATCCTCTGGAGCCCAGCGAGGTAAAAATTACCCTGGAGCGCTGTCAGGCACCTGCCACTCAGTCAAACCATACTGTGAAATACTATGTCTGAGAAATAGAATCAAACCCAAAACGTTCCTTTTTTTTTTTTTTTTTGCTTTAGCAATCAGAGTGAAACAGATATGTTGCCGATTGCCCGACTCCATCGCCAACCTGCCAAAGCCTACACCAGACAGCTTACTTCTAAATCTTTATTTGCTTTCTACACAGAGAAAACAGAGGAATGTTGAAGCAGCAATATTTAAACACACTAGCAGGGAGCCATCGATCTGTTGAGAGTGCACAAAATGCAACACAGGGCCGTTTGTGCGGTGGTCTCTGCTAAGGGGCAGGATGAGGGCAGGTCCAGGAGCCGTCTCTTCAGGCGGGAGAGCTCTACGCAAAGGTGGAGCCATTCCAGCCCACGTTGGCAGCGTTCATGTCAAAGTAGTTGATGTACACCCTGCAGAAGAGGCACAGGAAGACACAAATAACGACCTTATTAACTGATTTATACAAGCCATGAGGGAGACAGGACAACAGGACAGGGGACAGTGCTTCCCATTCCTCAGAAGAAATTTCAAGCTTCGTTTTTACCAAAAAATCTAGCTAACTTCTCTGGTAGAGCCTCCAAACTCAATATTCCTCAGAGTCCCTGGAACTGTAATTTTTTTTTAAGATACAAACTCTTCTTCAGTGAGGGACTGTCCAGACACCAGACAGCTTTTGGTTAGCAGCCTGTCAGGAATTTCCGGAGATCAAAACCTTTTGTTTCCGAGCGCTGCAGTCCATCACACGTGTCAAACAGACAGGCAGCCTCACGGAAGCCAAGCAGGCCCTCAGGGCCGGTCCCTTCCAACCCCAGCATCGGTGGCAGCAGGTTCCTCCCGTCCTTCACCGCCGCACACAGATGCTCCCTGCGAGGGAGCTGTTCACAGCCTGCCAGTTCCTGCTTTGCCTGGCAGCTCCAGCCCGTTACTGCTCCTCCCTCCTGCTTTCAGCCTCCCATCACCAGAGGACATCGCGCCTCGGCGGCAAAAAACACACGGTACAACCCATCGGTCCTCTGGGATTTCTCCCTACTCTGAGAGCAGGGAGCCACGTAACAGAGGACTCCCAGGGAAAAGATGGAGGCTCTTAGCTGGACATGAAAACACTGCAAATGATCACCCTGTATTTTCTCAAATACACGGACTTATTCCTGGCTTTTTGTATTTTTAAATTAACTTTTCAAAGCAGCTTCAGAGAGCCAGATAAACAAGGTTAATGACATTGCGTCCCGGCCTTACCTGTCTGCAGATACATGCAAGTGCTTAGAGATCAGATCGCACAGGAGCTTGGTGTAGGTCTTGTTCTGCTGCCCTCCTATTTTGCCAATGCTGTAAAGGCTGCAGAGCGCGCAGGGATCGGTGGAGCCCCCAAAGGACATCATCTGATCAGGAATGATGTGCACGGCGATGTACTGCGGTAAGAGAACAAACAGTTACAGGATACCTCACCTTCCCTCTCCCAATACGAGCTTTCCTCGGGTACCGACTCCAAGCTGCGTGCTGCGGCCCCGGCAGCTCGCGCCGCGGGGATCCCCTGCCTGGCTCTCAGCGTTAGCAGTGACGGTTGTGCTGTGCAAAGCCACAGGCGAGACGGAGACGGATCTCCTGCCCACGGCACCGCCGCTGCGCCGGCCTCACGGCTGTGCCCGCGCCCCAGAACTCGCAGCCCCGCACCCCTGACCGAGCCCCCGGGCCTGTCCCCAGCTCAGCCCCATCGGGCTTTGGCTTCCCAGGCCGCAGCGGCCCGGCGCAGGAGGGGCCGTACCCGGTCCCGGGAGAACGGGGGGCGGCCCCGGGGCAGCGC